AGCCCTCTGCAGATGGGCCTCGATGGCAGACTCAGGAGCAGAAATGACTGTGGCCCTTGTAAGCAGTATCCCCTGCTTACAGCAGCAGGATCCAGGAGCCCTGGCCTTCGTGCACCTCGGCCTGGCTGCAGCGACTGCCCCAGGGACAAATGAGCCCATGGTCCAGAGCATCCCTGGGCAGTGGCATCGGGATGCTGGGAGGGCAGGACCCAGAACCACAAGGGCCTTTCTCAGAAGTCCTCACCTCTGCCCCTGGGCCGACACTGGGTTTCTCTCTTTTGTAGCCGACTAGGGCAGCCCTTTAGCAAACTGTGCAGCTCGAAAGCCCGAGCCTCAGTTTCTCACCCATAAAGCAAAGACAGCCAAGTTCTCGGGATGGTCACTGGACAGCATGGCTGTCGGCATGGAGAGTAAGGGGGCGAAAGCGGGTGCACAGCCCCTTCCCACTCTGCTGTCTGGTGGACCTGCTTCTGGGGTGATGACACAGAGCCCCTCCTACCAGCCCCGACTGTGGGCCTCCCATGCTGGACATGCTCAGAGGCACCGCACATCTTGTTGGCCCTCAGCCCAGGAAGGAGGAGTGCTAGCACACCCATTATGCTGGTGGGCAAACAGAGGCACAGAGAGCTGGATAGTTAGTCCCTGGCCCCTGGGCCTTGGCACGAAGGTCAGGGTGAGCAGTGTCGCTAGGGGCAGACCCTTCCCTCCAGGCTCCAGTGTCCCCATCTGTGAAATGAGAGCTGTCCCAGCACCTGCTTGGGGCCAGGGCTCCCTGATCTGTCCATTTGGATGGCCTTGGCCAGATTCCAAGGCCCCATGAGGGGCCACCCTATAGGGGCCCCAGAAAGGACTCCTTAGGCCTGGGCCTCGGAAGTGCCTGCAGGAGAGCGCTGAGCATTGGCAGGCGTGGCTTGGGGGAGGTGGAGACCAGACAGGAGGCCAGAGAGGGGCAGGGCTCACCCAAGGCCTCCCACCAGGCAACAAGGGGGCCTGTCCTGGGAGGCCAGCTGGGAGCGTGGGGGGCAGGCTCTCACACTTCTCTGGTGACTGGGGACTCACTGGGCAGGTGCAGGGCTCAAAGAGGCTTAGCTGGCTCATGAGCGCTAAGCCCCTGGATTGCCCTTGACCCTCCTGTGCACTTGCTACTGCTCTGGTTGCTGGGGAGCACTGGGGGCTGTGAACACAAGTCTCTGTCCCCAGCAGGGCCCGGAACCCTCTCATCGAGGTGCATGGCCCTGGAAGGGACAGTCCCTTTCCCCGTGCCTCAGTTTGCCTATCTGTAAACAAGGGTTCTCACCCATCTTTTTACAGTGGGACCTGGACTATCTTGTGAATTCATGCAGTTGTTACAGGTCCCTTAGTATTAAATGTTTTACTATTCTCCTGTTTTCGGATTAGACGGATCCATGCTTGTTGCAGAAACTTCAGATGGCACAAAGAAGAGTGAAGAAGCAGGAAACAGTGGCCTGCAGCCCAGAGGTGGGGAGCAACCCCCAGGCCGCGTCCCTCTCGTGTTGGCTGTGTTCCGTGCCCTGTGTAGGCCTGGCACCTGGGAGGGGCTGGTGGGATTTTGTCTGTGAATCTACCACCTGCTTTCATCCTCCAGGGAAGCAAGGGGCCCTGAGGCCTGTCTCCCAGCAGGAGATGGGGGAGATGCCTTGCTGTGTCATCCCCAAACCATCATTGTGAACCTGTGGGTGGCAGATCAATGACACTTGGGGGACCCACCCTCTTCCTCCTGAGAGGCCAGGCAAGCTGGCATGTGCAGGCTGCCTGTCAGGGAGGACAGCTGGGCAGTGACAGCTGGGCCCTGGCAGGCAGCGGGCTCCAGGCAGGGGCTCACCTGTGGAAGGGGACCGGGCTGCTGCCTTCCTGTGGGGTAGCTGGAGGGCCTAAGTGCACGGAGGGTGCCATTGTGGGGCAAGTCCTCCCCACACATTCAGCTCATTGGAGCTACAAGCTCACATTATTTTATTGAAAATTGCTTTAATTAAAAAAAAAAAAAAAAAAGGCCAGCCCATGAGGCCACATTGCTTCCCTAACTCTTACCATCTTGCAATGAACTTTCTGGACCTGGTCCATTGTCAGAGGTTTTTAGGATGGAAATCTCATGCTTCTATTGAGTAGAAGCAAAACAATCAGGAATATTTAAAGAAAAACAAAAAGGATTTAGCCCTTCTACAGTTATTATCCGATTTGAGGGAAACACACCAATAACCACCCCTGCCCCCCACCGGGCTTATGCACAGTCCCCCGTACCCCAGGCCACCAGTGCCCATGGACACATCAGTCAACCTGGGACAGCCCTTGAGGAAGAGGGGACCCCTCCCCCCCAGGGTAGAGCCTCACCATCCCTTTGTTTCTGGCAGCATGTGTGTTGGCCCATTTTACAGAGCAGAACACTGAGACCCTGGGTCTCAGACCCCTTTCCTCTCCCAAGTGCCTTTCCACAAAGTCATTCATGGCACAAATGTTCTAGCATACTGTCTGCTCCCAGCTGTAAACTGAGACGAGGAGCACGTAATGGGGTGGGGGCCACAGAGGCCAAGGCTTTAATCAGTTCCTTAGGCTTCTGTGCTGGGCGCTTCTTACCTCTCCAACAGCGGCCCACAAGTTCCTTCCTGGTCTCTTCCACAGGAACGAGGGGAAGCACAGTCCTCTGTTTTAGACACAATCCTGGCTTTGAGGTCACACACACAGAGATCAGCTTTGTAGGGGCAGGTAAGCAGGGAGGGCTTCCTGGAGGAGGCAGCCAGTGCCCGAGGGCAATGAGGCACCAGCTGGACCTGGTCCAGGCACTGCTCCCAGCCAGGACACGGAGAGTCAGGGGCAGGTGGGGAGGGGGTAAGTGCAAACTCCAGTGGGGCCTATGTGGCCTCCTCTGTGGCACAACTCCATCACTGATCATGTCACAGCCTCTGAGGTCTCAGGAGGGTGACACAACATTCTCTGTCCCTCGGATGGGAACATTAAGGCCCAAGGCATGGCGGGAGACCGTCAGAGGTGAGGGGCTGAGGTTTCGGGCAGGGGTTGGCCCAGGCAGTGGGTCTACCCAAAGCACTTGAGTTGAGCCAAGTGCTTTCCCTCCTAGGCCTCAGTTTCCCTTCCTGCACACAGTTAGTGTTGCTGGGCTCTCCAAGAGGCCCCAGAATCAGTAGACAGGGCAGTTCAGCTCGTGACTCCTATAAGCTGTGGACTCCCTTCCAGAACCAACCCCAGGGCCTCCTGCTGCTTGTGGAGATGGCTTTGGTGGCAAGTGTGTGCCCTGACCCATGATGAGGGACATGGTTTCCCATGGGAAATGGGAGAGGTCATGGGCCACCCTTAGCTATCTACTGGGACAGAAGGAGGCCAGCACCACATTGAACACCCAGAACATGCAACCAAGCCACACACCAAGAAAAATGTCTGTCCCCGACCTTGATACCGTCTGCTACAGGCTGAATTGTGTCCACCCACCCCCCAAATTTAAGGGCTGAAGTCCTATCCCCTAGTATCCCAAACATGCTGTATTTGGAGACAGCATCTTTCTCCAGGTGACCAAGTTACAGGGAGGTCAAAAGGACTGATGTTACTCCAATAAGATTGGTGTTCCTATAAAAGAGGGGAAATTTGAGCACAGAGACAGAAATGTACAAAGGGACTGCCAGCCACGTGAAGTCTGGGATGGTGCTGCCACCAGCCAAGGAACTGTGGGAAGCCGGAGAGAGGCCTGAAACAGATCCTTCCTAGTCCCTTTGGGTGGGTGGGTGTGCTCTGCTGACACCTGATTTTAGACTTCAGGCCCCCCAGAACCCTGAGAGCACATTGCTATTATCCTGGGCCTCAGTCCACGGCCCCTTGTTACAGCAGCCCCAGAAAACATACACACCTTAAGAGGCCATGCTCAATTCAGCATTTTGGGGTCCTGGAGGCCATCCCGCCTCCCCTCCAGCCCTGTGTGCAAGCCCTGGAGATGGGCTAGGGGACATCTGGAAGGGAATTCTGGGGCTCCAGTCCCCTTGCATGGTGTGGAGGAGCCCTGAGGACTCACCTGGCTTCCTGACATGGCAAATGGGAAACACCTGCTTAGTCAAGGGAATCGAAGAAACTCATCCTATGTGGTCCACAGGTCTGAAGTGGGGAGCGGATATTATGGGGCGAAAGCAACTCCCACCCAGGAGAGGGGTATGCCCCTTACATATTCTACTGGGCTGGGAAAGCAAAGGCGCAGGGCAGTTGGGTGGGGGCGGGGAGCTGCTCTGCTGAAATGCTACTCTGTGGTCCCAGGAGAACACTCACCTCTTTGCTGCCACCTGCCAGGCCCTTCCGAGCCAGTCCTGTCCACCTGGGCCAACTTCCCAGACTTCCTGAGTCAGCCACCGGACTTCTGGCTGTTCCTCAAGCTTCCAACCTCAGGACCTTTGCATCTGCTGTTCTTGCTGATAAAGAAGCTTCCGTCTTCTCTGCAGCAGGCCCACTCAGGAGCGGCCTGAGCCACCCAGAGCCTCCTCAGATCCTGTGTGGATGTTAGGAGAGCCCCCTGGGCGGTTGCCAGGGAGGGCGCGGCGACTGAGCTGGGCGGGGTCTGGGGAGAGGAAGAGGCGGGCCGCAGCTCTGGACCCAGCCGGGTACCACGACCAAGTAGTTGAGCTGGAGGGGGAGAGCTAGGAGAGGGCAGTTCCCCCTCATGTGTAGGTGGGGGCACAGCCAGAGCCCAGGGATCTGAATGTGCCCCCAGCACCCGGGGTTCCTCAGTGAAAACCAACAACATCGAGCCCTAGCTAAGAGGGCCTGGCTCACGGTGACACAGATGGGGCAGCCACGTGCCCCTCACGGACACCTGGCCTGGGGGACCGGGGTGTTCGGCGGGGCGGGAGCCGAGGGCAAAGCCCTTGCAAGGCCCTGGAGCGAGACTTCCTGTACAGCCAAGCTTGGCCCCTTGGGGGTTGGGGCTCCCGCGGGGCCGGCCACGCCCCCAGACCCATGGGGAGGGGCCCCTGGAGGGCGTGTCCAGGGCTGCCCCGCCCCTCGGGCTTCGGCCCTGCAGTCCCCGCAGAGTGCCGCGGAGCGCAGGGATGCCCACGGCAGCCGCGACCCCTCGCCGTAAGGCGAGGCCCGGGGAGCGTGCGGGGAACGAGGAGCCCGCCCCGGGGAACCGCACAGGTGAGCGCTGGGGCTGCGGGCCGCGAGTGGGGCTCTGCACCCATTTCACCGACAGGGAAGTCGAGAGGCGGGCGGCACGGCGGAGGCGGGGAGGGGGTGCGCACAGCCGTGGGGGCAGGAGCACACAGCGGGGAGAAGGGGCGCACAGCCGGGTTCGGGACGGCCCCCAGCGCGACACCCGCCAAAGAACGAGCCTCCCCGACCCACTCCGCTGGCAGAGCCGGCGCCCCAGCAGAGCCGAAGTCCGGCTGCAGGCGGCCTGAAACCAGGCGGCGGCGCCCAGCAGCCCAGCCGCCCACCCGCCCAGGTGCGCGCCCTCTCCCGGTGCGGCGCCAGCTCCTGGCCGGCTGCTTACGGGGGAAGTCGGTGAGGCGGACGTGGTGAACCTGCTTCGCTTTGCGGGGAGGTGCCGCTGGCTGCCCCCCCTTCACAGGTGGGGAAACTGAGCCAGGAGGGGAGGACGCCTGCCCGAGGTCCCGCGACTGCCGGGCCCGGCATGAGGTCCGGGGTCTCCGAAAGGAGGGAGGGCTGGCAGTTGGCTTACTTTGTGATTGATTTCGAGAGTGTTTTGATGAGGCTTCCCCGTCGTGCTTAGCTGGGGTGTAGGAGCTCCTCCGAAGGCGCAGGTTTGAACGCTGGCTTTGCTGCATGACTGCGTCTGAAGCCTAACCCTCCTAGAAGCAGCAGCAGATGTCCCAGAGCCTCCCTTTAGTGCGCGCTGCCCCTCTCCTTTGAGCCTGAGGGTCTCTGCACAACTGTGCCCCAGGCCAGGTGCGGGATGGGGCTCTTCCCACACGTGGAAGGTGGACCTGGAGGATCAGGCTGGCCCAGGTCACACCCCGTGGGGGCAGCCCATTCAGGACTAAAACAATGACATCTGCCACTCTGGGGAGTAATGGGCGGGCAGGTTCTTCTCAAATGGGGAAACTGAGGCTCAAGGAGGTAAGTTGCCTGCAGAGCAGAGGCGCTCAGCTTTGGGAGTGGGAGCTGAGACCTGCCCCTGGCTGGTTGAGGGGGGTTTATTTTCTTTGACCCCCTTGCACCCCATCCCCTCCTGCATTTGGTGCTTTGCCGGTGTTGCTCTATTCCGTCGGGAACCTGTGGCTTTGTTGCCGCACTACCGGGGGAGGTGGGTGTTGACCAAGAAGCTGCTTGCACAAGCCGAATTTAGGACTGGGACTTGGACGGAGGCCCTGATGTGTTTGCATACAAAAGACTACTGAGAACTCTGCCTGGGGCTGGGGGGGGTGTGGGGGGCAGGGAGGTTTCTTAGAGGCCAGTCCCTGCCCTCTGGCCAGCCCAGCCCAGCTCCACCCCTGCTTCTGATGGCTACCTCTCAGCCCTCTCCCGGATGTGAGCCTGGGGAGGGGGCTCTCCCAGCCCATAGGAGTCCTTCCCCCACATTTGGGTTCGGAAGCCCCCCTCTGACCTGGGATGTGTCTCTGCCTCTCGCCTCAGTTTCCCCATGTGCTGAGTGGTGGGCATGGTATACCTGCCCCCATGCTTGTGGACGGGCCAGGTGGAGTTGGGGGGCCTGTGTACCCACCCTGGCCATGGTCGTTCTGCTCCCAGGTAACAGGTCCATCCAGACTCCACCATTCCCCTGCCCTGTGGCCTTGGTCTTTCGAGCTGTGAAGTGGATTCCCTCTTGTTCCTGTGGGGTTGTGAAGGGATGTGGGGGGGGGGGGTCTTTTGGAGACATTTTGGCACTCCCTTAAACATAGCAGTGGGGGGTGTTTTTCCTGTAGTTGTAAAATGGACACATCGCTCTGTTCTCCTGAGACTAGGTGTTGAAGTCCAGCTGTGTCCTGGGATCCGCATTCTTCCTGCATCACCCATGTATGGCTGCTGAAGGGCAGGTGGGCGGGGAGATGCTGGCTCAGAGCAGGGGCTTAAATTTTTGTGGAGTGGCTGCCTGGGTGCCCAGACCAACACGAAGGCCACCCTTCCACTGCCCATGGCCCCCGCCGGCTCTGGCCCTCGTCCCAGAGCAGCTCCAGCAACTCCCTGATGGGGGAGATTGTATAAGACTGCAGGAGGGACACAGGGTTCCAGCAGCCAGAGGTGCCCCCACTCCCGGACCTTCTGGAAGGTCTTGAGGGAGGGGCCTGGGAAGGGGCAGCAGGAGGACCCAGGATGGTGAGGGCATGCCCTGGGCGTCGCTCCTGCTGCCCTGCTGCACAGGTGACCTGTGCCCTTTTCATGAAGGAGAGACTGAGGCCCAGGGGGAGACGTGGGAATCCAGATGTGGCCTGTGTTCCCCTGCAAGGCCAGCTTGGCCTCCTGCCAGGTGTGGGCAGAGCCTTGATGTTCTCCCCTGAAAGGGTTGGAGTCAGCCTGGTTCTGCTCTGGAAGGCACTGTGTATTCTGCTGGTGTGAGGTCACCTGCCAGCCACCAGGGGAATGCTGGGATGACCTGGTCTCCACAGTGGCCAAGGTCCAGGCCTGCCCCCCGCCCCATGGGGAAAGGAGACCTGCTCTGAGAGGGCGGGTGTCTTGCCTGAGGACACACAACCAGGGCTATGGGCCTCTCACGTGTGGCTGTCCCTCCTGCTGGGATCGTGGGGGTCCCACCCTCCATAGAACACCTGTGTGTGCGCAGGTCACCCTTTTAAACTCTCCTCCTGGGGTTTCCCTTTCCATTTGAGGGCAACAGACTCAGAGCAAGAAGCAAATCCCCCGTGGCAGAGAGACCCAGGCCCTTGGTGGGCTGGCCCTGAGGCTGGCCTCCCCATCTCCCATGATCCTTTGGCAGAAGAGGGGTAGGTAACTTATTTACCTGGGCCCCTGTGGGTGAGGTCAGGGTTTGAGGGCAGCCTGGTCTCCAGGAAGAAGGATGAGAGGGGTGGGCCTGTGGTCCAGGGTTCCAGATAAAAGATTAACAAGAGAGGCTTGTTCTTCTCCCGCTGGCCATGCGGGCTGGGCTGGGGAAGCGCCAGGGTCAGGCCCTGCCCCCCTCTGTGTGCGAGGGGGTCAGGGGCTGAGGATGTGGGCAGTCCAGCGCAGGTCTGCCCTTTACTGTCCAGGGGAGCCCACAGGTTTGGTTTGGGTTTGTGCCTTCTTTGCATCAAATCCGTTTGCTGTGTTTTTCCTCCTTTGAGATGTATTTGAACATAGTAGAAAAGAGAGAGGGATCATAAAGAGCCTGAGGAGAGAGGTGGCAAAGGCTGAGGGGTGCAGCTTCCAGTGTCTGGGCCAGTGGCAGGTGGAGGGCTGGCCTGGCCGCTGGGTGTCTCTGTGGGTTTTCAGCAAGGATGGGGAAAGATGGGATTTGCCTCTTAGACATCAAGGCGGGGGCTGTTGGTGGGGTAGTGAAAGGGTGGGGGGTGTCCTGGGGGTCTCCGGGCTGGGCAGAGGCTGGGTTTGTAGTCTAGGGGATGCGGCCGCTGGAGCCAGCTGGCCCAGCTGCCAGGCCTTGGTGACTCAGGACATGTTGGGGGGCCAGGGAGGCTGGGGTAGGTAGGTGTTTCGAATCCCCAGTAGCCCTTTGGCACCTTGCCGCCTCCCTGCTCTGGCCTGGCTGTGTGTCACCAGTGGAAAGGTCTTGTGGGGACCCTGCCAGTGGACACCTGGGGTGCTGGGTGGACAAGGTGGACCTCAGCTTCCTCGTCTGGCAGATGGGCTCAGCCAGGGAAGGGATGCAGGAGAGCCCATAGGAGCCTGGGGCTGGGAGGTTGGCTTGGGTACCACGGCCTGGAGGGTCAGAAGAGGCATTGCCCCCTCCCAGGGGAGAGTGTTAGTGAGCTCCAGGCATGGCTCTAAGGTTTCCATGGGGCGGTCCTCCTCATGACCCTGGGGGCAGGGCACCCAGTTTCGCAGATGGGGACATGAAGTCTGAGCAAGAACCTGGGTCTGGGAGACAGTGGAGCAGAGTCCGACCCCATGGAGGGGGCCTGAGGTTTGGGGGCTGGGGTCTTCCCCACAGGGCAGGACCACCCTCCTGCTTGTCCACATCCCATCCAGGCTCCGGGATCACGGAGGCCTGAGCGCCAAGCCTGGCCCCTCTGCAGGGTGGGCTGTGGGCAAGGCTCCTCTTCCTCCCCTCACTTACCAGGATTATTTCCTCAGGCTGGGTTTTTAAGTGTTCAAGCTGCACACTTGTGCTGGTGGCACAACTCCCAGCCTCTGATGGGTCTGAGCTCCCCTCGCTGTTGGGAAATGCAGTCTGAGGCCCCAGGGCTGGGGGAGGGGGGCAGGACTCTCCTGGAGCCCTGCCGCGTGTTCACAGGGTGAGCCCCACATTCTTTTTCCCCATCTTGCGTTGGGGGTGCGCCATGGCGGGCCTGCAGGTCAGCGCCACCCCCACACTCTCCCATCCTCACTGTTGGGAGCACTTGGGGAGGAGCATTGCCAGGTGGTGAAAGCTGGGTTGGGTATCTTGGCCACCGGAACTGGCCACAGCTCAGGATGTGACTGTTGGCAGCGGGCCCTGCCCCCACCCTGTGCACATGCCAGGGCGCACTGTGTCCCAATGACAGTGCTGGTTTCCCTGCTGGGGCCTCGTTGTCTGGGGCAGGCCCCCTGCCCAGCCAGCTGCCACACCGACAGGTAGGTCCCAGGCCCAGAGCGGCAGAGTGACAGGGTCACCCAGCTGGTGGGGTGGGGGAGTGCGCCGCAGAGCAGCCTTGCTGCCTTGATTCCTGGGGCCAGCAGTGCAGGCAGGCAGAGCCCAGGGGTGGGGGTCTGGAGGGCCACCTGGTTACATGCAGCCTTGTTGCGACAAGGCCTTGTTGCTGGGGGCGCTCTCCCTGGGTCTTAAGTTATACTTAAGTATACTCAGACATACTCGCAGAGTTGAAGGGATTTGTTATCAGGCCTTCTAGGCTGACCCTGACCCTGGACCTTTCACTGGTGGCTTCATCTGGGGTTTTCTTGAGAAAGTTCTAGCTGTACAGACTGGGTGCTGGTGGGGGGGGGGCAGACCAGGGCGAGCACCCCTGGAACTCAGCTGCCTCCCCTCCCCAAGGGCCAGGGCCTTGCAGGGCGGTGCCAAGGAAGCCACTGAGCACAGAAGAATGCAGAAGTGACAGGTCTAAATCGGGCACTGGGAAGTGTTGGCTGCAGGGTGACCATGTGGCCGGCCTGTGGCCCATCTACCCTTCCCAAACCCCCCTGCCCAGAAGGACCACATGAGTCCAGGTCCACGGTCCTGGTGGAGGTCCCGGGCTTGGGCCTTCTTCCGTCCATTCATGAATGCATGGCCGGCTGTCGAGGGAGAGGTTGGTCAGTTCAGAGCTCACTCCGGAGTCTGGGTGTGCGTCCCACTGGGCACCCCACAGGGTGGGTGCCAGGTCAGCACCCTTCCACCCCCCACCCACCTTGGTAGGCTAGTCATTTTACCGTTGACGCTACCAACAGCCCAAAAACAATGCCTCACGTTTCAAATGTGCATTTCTTTGATTGACATAAGTCTTTTCCTGAAATTGTTTTTTTGCTTTATTGAGAGAGAATTCATATGCGATGTGATTCATTCTTTGAAGTATACAGTATTTTTTTTAAGATTTTATTTTTATTTATTTGACAGATAGAGGTCACAAGTAGGCAGAGAGGAAGGCAGAGAGAGAGGAGGAAGCAGGCCCCCTGCCGAGCAGAGGGCCCGATGTGGGGCTCAATCCCAGGACCCTCAGATCATGACCTGAGCCGAAGGCAGAGGCTTTAACCCACTGAGCCACCCAGGCGCCCCTGAAGTATACAGTATTTAACGTGTCTGGCAGATCTGGGCAGCCCTCCCCACGGTCCGCCCCAGGACATTTTCATCACCCCAGAAAGAAGTCATGCATGCTGCAGCAGTGTCTCTCCCGCCCCGGTTGATCCACTCTCTGCCTGAGGATTGGCCTCATGGGGGAGGTTCATAGAAATGCAATCCGACCACGTGAGGTTTTGTGGCCGACTGGGCTGCACGGTGGGTCAGGGCCTCTGTCCTTTGATATTCCCTGTGTGGCTTGTTCTGTGTGCCATTTATCCGTTCATCAGCAGGTGGGCGGGAGGGCAGTTTCTAGGTTTCAGCTGTTGTGAACAGTGCTGCTGGGAACGTGTGTGTACAGGTCTGTGTGGATGTGTTTTCCTCTCCCCGTTCTGTGGCTGAGCGGGGCATGGCGGCATCACACGCTGACTGTCCATGTGCGCGCTGGGCCCCACTAGGGCCACTGCCCGCCTGCATTTCCGCCTGCCACGCGGGGCTCGGGTTCCCACAGCCCTGGTACACCTGTCCCCCTCTGTCTCACGGACAGACACTTGTGGAGGAGAAGCAGCGCCTCCCTGATCTGATTAGTGCTTTCCTGAAGGTGAAGGACGCTGAGCATCTTGTCATGGGCCACTGGTACATCTGTGGAGAAATGTCTATCCGATCCTTTGCCCACTTTTAAATTTAGGTCCCTGCTGTAATTCAGTATAATAATTTCTGCAGGGCACCTGGGTGACTCAGTCAGTGAAGCGTCTGCCTTCAGCTCCGGTCGTCTTGGGGTCCTGGGATCGAGCCACCCATCAGGCTCCTTGCTCCCGCTGCCTACAGGTGAATAGTGTCGTCAGGCATCGGTTGCTGGAGCACTGTTCTCGTCCCACTGAATCGTCTGGGCACCCTTGTCGAAACTCGCTTCACTGGGAATACGAGTTTATTTCTGGGCTCTCAGCTCTGCGCCACTGGCCTCGATGTCTGTCCCTTTGTCACCGTAGCTTTGTGGAAACTTTTGAAAGTGTGAATCCTCCAATTTTGTTCTTTTTCAAGATCATTTTTGTGTGGGCTGCTGGGTCTTCTGCAATTCCTTATGAATTTTTGGACCAGCCTGTTAGTTTCTAGAAGGGCGGCAGCTGGGACTCTGGTAGAGGCCAGGCTGCATGTGCAGATGAGCGGAGGCGAGCGTGCATCCCCCTGGAGTCCGTCTCCCTGTCCGCAGACACGGGTGGCTTCCCTTCATTCAGGAACTTTATTTCCACCAACAATGTCTTAGAGTTTTCATGGTTTAAGTTTTGCCCTTATTTTGTTCAGTTTATCCTACAAAAGAAAGTGGGATTGCCGTCTCCGTCTCACTCTAGGCTGTTCACAGCCGCTGTACTGAAATATGGCAGATTTCCGTGTGTCGGTCTTGTCTCCTGTGGCCCCATGGGAATTCTTATTTGTTTCTGTAGGTTTTTACTAGATTCCTGGGGGTTTTTCTAGATCCAAGATCATGTCATCGGATGAAGAAGTTTTGCTTCTTCCTTTTCGACATGAATGTCTTGTATTTAATTTTTTTAATTGATTGCCCTGCCCCTGGTTTTTGAGGCATTTGTTTTTCTTTTCTGCTTGACCCATACTTCTCTGTTGTGACTCTGAGCGCTGTTGTTGATACATAAGGGTGGTCTGTAGGGAGAGACCCTCCTTCTATGCCGAGTGTTATTTCTGGGCCCCTCCCCATGGCGTCAGCCCCCTCTGCAAGATCGGCATCCCCACGGGAAAGTGGGGATGAGGATTCCTCCTTGCTCTCCTCTGGGATGGCTGTGGGTGCTGAACCGGGCTGGGAGTGAGGGTCCTTTTTTTTTTTAGTTACGTGAGGGTCCTTCTTGATCGGAACATTCTATCAGAGCTGCATTGCTGGTGGTGGCAGTGACACTGGTGATGGTCATGTGCACACAGGAAGGCCAAGCACTGTCCACCCTTGCCGTGCCTCAGTTTCCCCATCTGTGAGGGAGTGATGGACTGCTCTGCTCATGGGTGTCCAGGGTGTCTCAGCTGATCCGGGAGTGAGCCCCCCCCCCATGAAGTGCACAAAGCCTAAGGGCCCCTGGCTCACCTTCTCCCTCACATTGCAGCCTGTGGACCCCCTCAGGTTCTCAGTGGGGCCGAGCACTTGCAGCCTGGTGGAGCACAGTTAGGGGTGATGACCCCCACGTGGTTGATATTCAGGTATAACTTCAAACTCTCCCAAAAACCTTAGCGCTGCTGCTGCTTACTGCTCCCTGGTGACCAAAGCCTCACTGATCACACCACCAGCCACTAGACACGTGGCTTGTGTGTTAGGTGTGTTACGTACTATGGTCCTACAGTAAAGGGAGCTGGAGAGAAGCAGACGTCATTGGGAAAGTCACAGGTAAGGGAACTACGCGGACAGTTCTGTCCTGTAATAAGTCCAACATCAGTGGACCCGAGCCATTCAAACCACATTCAGGGGTTGCCTGAATTCGCCTTTATTGTCTTCTGACACAAAGTTGTGTTTTCAACACTGCGGTCCTTGGAGCCTCCAGAGATCGCTTACTGTGGGACCCAGTCTGCCTTTATCTGTGGCCACCGGCCGGATGGCCACCACACTTGGTAGCCTGGGTTATGACACTTCTCCAGAGTGTCACGTGGCTAGTGGGGCTTCTGCCCATTAGCACTACCCTGCCTGCCAGCATCCGGTCCTCACACCATCTCTCCTCTTTTCTTCCCTAGGCGTGTGCACACATGTGCAGTCACCACCGAGGGGCACCCTCCAAGTCCTCCGTGGCAACGGCACTTCCGTGGGGACCATTATTGTGTTCCACTGCCCCTCAGGCCACCAGATGGTTGGGTCTGGCCTCCTCACCTGTGCCTGGAAGGGGAGTGTTGCCGAGTGGTCTTCAGTGACCCCTGTGTGCAAATGTGAGTCCCGCTTCCCCAAAGCCACCCCCCAACTCAGCACCTGTGGGGGGTGGGGGGCTGCCGATCCACGGCAGGGGTGCAGTGGGTACGGGTCAGCGTGGGGCCTCTGTGTAGGGTCTACTCCTGGTGCTAGCAGCCCAACAGCCCACATGGGGCTTCATGTCTTCGTTTGCACTCAAGGCCCAGCAGCAGGGTCCCGGCTCTGCCCCTGAGGTGGCTGCTCACCTCCAAGAGGTCACTTGTACATTGGAACTAGCGCTCTGTTGTTTTTGAAGTGGGCGGCTATGTTTGTTCATTCATTCGTCCTCTTGTGCATGCACATGGCCGATCGTACTAGGAGGGTGCCATGGTTATTGTGTGTGTCACGGATCCTTGAACTGGAGGGACTGATGTTCCCAGTTGGGTGAAGAGACGGCTTTCCAGTATTTGAGTTGTATTTGTTGTACAGGGTGTTAATAACACCCAGCACAGCATTTCCCAAAGTGCAGTCATTGTTGTGTTGATGTATGTGCATTGGAGAGGGCTCCGTGGTCAACACAGATGGGAAAATGCAGGAGTCATAGGCTGCAGCACTTCTCAGAGCCTTTAAAATATTCATGTGTCGGATGAATGTCTGATAAGGAGGGTGCCTGTCAGATTAGACTCCAGGAGACAGGAAACCCAAGAGAACAGGTTCACCAAGCTTTCTCTTGCCCATGGCCCTCAGGAAGGGCATCTCATGTGGCACCCCCTGTAACAAGGACCCAGGCCTCTCTGGGCTGTGGCTCGGGGACATGGCTCAGGATGGAAGCACCTGTTCCTGGCAGGCAGGGCAAGGAAGGCCCTCAGACAGTGCTCCCCACCCTTCTCCTCACCCCACGGAGCGGAATGTAGACATGCAACTGCAGGGGAGGCCGGGAGAGGTCTTCCGTGTGGGTGGGCTGTGTTCAGCTAGGGCAAGAGACGGGGATATGGGGTATGAGCAGTGTCTGTGGCGAGGGAGGATATGCAGTATTGCTCATACTGAGACCCCGGGCCTTGTTTTCCCAGAACACCCTTTAGAACCAAATAGAACCACTTCTCAGCACGTAGCTGGTCACATGGCTATTAAGTGGCAAAGGCCCTTTGACCCTGAGCACAGCCATTTTTCTTGCTTTTGAGCCCTTCCAGAAAGTGACGGCCCATAGGCCCTTGGAGGGTTGTGCTGGCTTGCGACCTTGTGGAAGCAGGCCATGGGCTGTATGTGGGCATCTGGGGCCCAGGCTGCAGTGTGTGGGCCACCATCGACCTCGCTGTCACAGCTGTTCCCAGTGTGCCACTGTGAGCTCCTACGCACCCTCAAAAACTCTGCCAATACAGCCCTTTCTTCTCTCTTTTTTTTTTTTAAGATTATTTATTTGTTTATTTATTTGACAGAGAAGAGAGACCGCGAGAGAGGGAACACAAGCACGGGGAGTGGGAGAGGGAGTAGCAGACCTTCTGCTGAGCAGGATGTGGGGCTCGATCCTAGGACTCTGGGATCATGACCTGAGACGAAGGCAGATACTTAACAACTGAGTCACCCAGGCGCCCCAAGACATCCTTAGACGGCAGTGTTCCCTGATAGCCCCACTCCAACAACATTCTGCACAGAACTTGGCCGCAGCACCTCCTTGCTCCCCCGCCATGGAACAGAGCTTGCTGAGAGCCTGGGCAAGCCCCCCACAGGAAGTAGCCTTGTCTTCCTTGCAGCGGTGCCGCCATACGAGACCTTCAGCTTCAAGGTGGCCGTGATCGCCTCCATCATCAGCTGTGCCATCATCCTGCTCATGTCCATGGCCTTCCTCACCTGCTGCCTCGTGCGGTGCATGAAGAGGAGTGAGCAGCCATCCGACAGGTACGCTGGCCCCCATAGCCCCCAGCCCTCCCTGCTGCCGGAGGGCTCTTCACGGGCTCCTGCCGTCTGTGCCGGGGCCTCCTGCAGGTATGTGGGGCCGCTGGGGCAGCCGTGGCTCCTCAGGGAGCCAAGCTGCAGAGCGTGGCCCCACGGCAGTGGGGGGCTCGGCATCCCATGCACATGGGGCTGGACTGGGTGTCCCTTAGGCAGAGCTGGCTCACACCCCACTGTGCTGGGTGAGCAGGGCTGACCGGTGATAGGGAGTTTTGGCGGGCGGCCAGACGCTGGGCCACCGCCACCTTCACCGTACTATAGCTTTGCCTGTGTGTTTCTTATAAAATATTTACAGGGTGTGAGCTGCCATCTTAACCCTCTGCAGGGGTGCGGCTCGGGGCTCAGTGTGAGCGGCCCTTGGCACCCTCCAGCCCTAGAGCTTCCGGCTGCAGCGGCTATCTCGCCGAGGTCTGGTGTCCTGAGCATCCTTCCCCATCTCTCCCCAGGGCGACCCAGCTGTGGCTCCAGCTGAGAGCCGGGGACTTGGAGACAGTGCCACCTGCCTACCTGGGCCTCAAGGGCGTGAACAACAGTAACAGCGGTGGCGGCGGTGGGGGGCCCGCAGGCCATCCTGGCCAGGCCCATGACAACTACAGTTTCACTATGTGCGCCTGGGGGGTGTTGAGGGGGGCACCAGGGTGAGGCGGGCCCCCAGCTCGGTCAGAATACCACCCCCCCACACACTGCCCAGGCTTACCTGGACCTCAACTCCTGCCCCTGCACCAGTGGCCGGCCGTCCTTCTCACCCAGGGTCCAGACCCTGTGCCTGAGGCCTTTCTCCTGGGAATTCAGACCTGCAGACATGAGCTCCCTTCCCAAGGCCCCAGCAGGACTCCCTGTGTCTCCCCCTCCTGTCTCTCATGCTTCCTACATGTGTGCATGTGCTTTCTGAGCCATCACAAGGATGTCCTCTTACACCCTGTTCTCTGACTCGGGGAGTCCTGTCGAGGCTGCACGTGGACTGCAGAGAAAGCACCTCCTAGTGTTGCTAGGTTTAAACGCATCCCTTCTTACCCCACGACAAGTGGCACCTGAGGCTGGGTTCCAGGCACCCTAAGTGGGATGGCCGTTGCCATGTGCGGGCCCTGGGCCTGTGGTCCCACAGAGGTGGAATCCTGGGCCACCAGGCTTCTGCACAGCCACATTCGGGCTGCGTCTCAGCGAGGGGCCCCATGGTGGCATGGGTGCGGGTCACAGACACGGGTTGGGCAGGCATCCCATGGGCATGCAGGCTGCGGTCTCTACGAGGGACCACTCTGCTGTCTCCACGACCTCTGACCCAAGGCCTCAGGGTCCAGGGACGTTCCAGCCGGAACCAGTTACTGCCCTGGGATGACAGAATGGCCCCTAGGGTTTATGTACACTCTGAATGAGCCCCCTTCCTCAGCACCACCCCCAAGTAGACCCTTCCCACCCTTGGAAGGTGGGCACGCTGCTTCTTGGATCACATACCTCGTACACGTGAGGGGTCTGACGCCCAGGCAGGGGCACCAGTGGAGGGACCTCCTCAGGCTTAGGGCAGTTCTAAGCCTGCCTAAGCCTACGGAAGGTCAGGCCCCAGGGGCCTGTCATGGGGGCAGGGTGACACTGGTCCTTGCCCTTCCCCCAAGCCTTGCCTCTTTTTCCTGCAGGGACCTAGGTGAGGGCACCAGAGAGCTGGCTGGCATGGCCCATGGCATGGACAAGGACCCCTGGACCACTAGCTGTCCTGCGAGCTCACCCTGTGCCCAGGTGATGGTGCACGCGGCCGACCTGGGGCGCACCCCGCCTGCCCACTGGCCCACTGCAGGAGTGTCCAGACAGCACATGGCCTACGTCCCGGGGTGACTGAGGCAGAGTCTGGAGCCTGCCCTTCACACAGGAGGACCAGGGACACTCCACCACCCAGCCACCTACGTCTCAACCTGTGTCTAGCTTGCGATGGGTCAGTGAAACCAGCTTCCGGGGTTAGGGATCCCTCACAGAACTGAGCTGGGGACTCCAGAGCGGTGTCCTGTCCCAGGGGGGCCCCTCTGGAGCAGCTTTTATAGACAGGCGTCCTCCGAGCCACCACAGAGTTTCCGGAACCAGATGCAGCCTCCCCACCCAGCTGGCTCCTTTAAAGAGCCTGGGAGATGTTTTTAGCAAATCTCGTTTTGCATTGGGTTGGGGGAGAGAGAGCAGGGAGTGAGTTGGGGCACTGCTTCTGCTCTATGCAAAGTAGCCACGAGGGGAAAGGGGTGTGAAATAAACAGTTCTAACAATGGAGAAACAAAGGTAAAAATCGCTGTCTCGATTTTCAGTCTCTCCCAAAAGACATCAAGCAGGTTTTACTCAAGCTGTAAAACAACTCCCTCTTCACTCCTGCTCAGTGCTCTGGGCTTGGGGGGCTGTGCTGGGCAACGTGGTCAGCCGCTGGCTGGCACCGGGCCATGTGGAGGCTGGCCAGCTCACACATCTGGGCACCGCAGCTGTCAGCAGAGACCTCACTGGTGGCGGCTGTCTCTTGTGGCCTGGGTCTCCTTGCACCCTGGTGGCCGGTGTCCATGATGAGTCCTGAGTGCAAGCCTTGCCTTCCACGGGTGTGGGAAGTCATGCCAGCTCATGGCCGCTGCATCCCACCCAACGAGGAGGGCAGCGGGGCTCCCCTTCTGCGTGGGAGGAGGACCAGGCAGGGGTGGATGCCTTTGAAGCCATCCTGGTCCCCTAACCCACAGCTGTCACAGCAGGTGTCAGAACACCCTTCCTTTTTAAGGCTGAACCCACCGTGTATCTATGCCACATCTGTATGTCCTTCCATCTGAGGGTGGACACTGGATGGCTTCTACCTCTCTGCTGCTGTGAACATGGGTGTGCAGACATCTGGGAGACCCTGCTCTCAATTGTTTCGTGTATACAGAGGCTATTTTCAGATAGAGCAATCAGAAATCCCCACGCCCTCCTCAGCTATCACGTGGAGCTCTCCCTCGCTTCGGCCGGGCATCCACTCAGATGTCTGGCATGTTCCTTTTAAGCTGCCACATAACCAGTGACCACGAAATGTAGTGGCTCAGAAATAATTAGCACCTGTTACCGCTCTGTGTCAGGTGGGGGCAGGGTGGCTCTGGCTCGGGGTCTCATGAGGCTGGGGCATCCCTTGAAGGCTTGCCGGGGCCAGGGACCCGCTTCCAGGACAGGTGCCAGTTGCTGGCTGTGGGCCTCCACTCCTGCCGGCACAGGGCTCACCGCAGTGCGGCCTGAGTGCCCTCAGCACATGGGGGCCGCTCCTCCCCAGGAGCAGGCGGCCCAGGAGGGAAGGGAGCCACAGTGCTCCTTACCACCCGGCGTCAGAGGGCACCCAGCTCACTCTGTCACCCGTCACCCTCACAAAGGCCAGCCTGATTTGCCGTGGAATGAGATGGCAGAAGGGTGTCACCCGGGATGGGAGGATGGAGGGGCTATCTTGGGCATGGGCAGCCTCTCCAGGAGGTCTCTAGCCTCTTGCTTTCCCAGTGCTCAGTGCCCACATGCTTCATTTGGTTAATATCAGCGGAACCTCTGTTGGGGCAGGGCCCCCTCTACCTTCCCTGTAATAATCTAGATCTGGGTTGGCCACGCAGCAGGCGTTCAGGAGATGTGTTACAGGAATGAGAGAGTGAGGGAATGATGTCTTTGTATGGTCAGCTCCAGCCACACGGGCCACCCTTCATGGCACCCCATTCCCCTCCTGCCTCTAACCCCTCTTTGTTCAGCTCATCGAGTCAGGCTTTAAGTGCATTTCTGGAGCACCTGCTGGATGCCTGGCACCATGGCCAGGTGGGGCCCCATCCTTAGGAGCTGACGTTCTAGTGGGGAAATAGTACAAGTGCAGGGGAGCAGGACCAGAAGCCCGGGGAGGTGCCCTGTGGTGGGGGGGGGCCCTCCCCACTGGCAGGCCCACACAGAACTTAGGATCTTGGATTGTGCCGCTTGGACCCATGAAATGTGAAGTTCTGGGCCTGGTCAGAATTGAGCGGCCCGCAAGTTGGATTCCTCCCTCACTGATGACAGGCGTGTTGACCCCCTTCTTTCGGACTCCTAGGACCTCTGTTAATTATGGACGTTGAGCCTTCCATGTGATGAGCTGCCAGCACCCCCCACTTCTTGTTTGCCTTGTGACTTTGCTGAGCTGTTGGGGCAGCGGCTGAGAAGAAACCTCAATAAGAAGGAGGTAGCAGGTGCAGACACCACCTGGGGTGGGCATCCCCTGCCCAGTTTAAAACTATTTACTTTCTGATCACATAAATCCTGCCACAGTGACAATTCAAAAGAAGCAAATGTCTGAGGCAGAAGCGGAGTGGGGGTTGGAGGGGGTCAGAGCCAGTGCCTGCCTGAGGTCCAGGAACAGGTAGGGGACAATTTCAGTTTGCTCTCCGAAGCCTATACAAGGGCGATCCTGTGTGCCATGTGAGACCCTCGCTGCTCAGGAGTGGGTGAGGGTCCCCAGGACCACCGTCCTGCTGGCCCAAGTGCTCACTTTGCACCCTGGTGGGTGCTGGAGTGGGCAGGCGGGGAAGACATTGTGCCTCCCCTCCCCCCCCAGCCCTTTGACCTAGGGAGCCACAACCACCTGCTGCTTCAGCTGTGGGGACAGGGCTGGTCCTGTCCTGGGGTCCCAGCTCCTTCATGCACTCCTACTCAGCTTGCCTGAAGGGCATATCTAGAGGGCTCAGAGGTGCGGGTCTGTGCACACTGGGTACGGGTCCCTTGGAGCCATTCTTGCACCTGGGAGACCTGGCCTGGCAAGGGATGCCGATGCTTGGAGCCTCAGTTTCTCCGCTCAACCTGTAGCAGGAAGTGATGTGAAGGTGGAATGCTGGCCATGGGGCAGCGCTCACTAAAGGTGGGGAGTGCTTGGGAAACCCCGCAGTCCCATCCAGACCCTGCGGGTATGGTGCTGACATTACTTCTAGAGGGAGAAACAACGGAGAGGTAAATGCTAGGATCCATGGCAGTGTGCAGAAGGCGGAATAATGGGGGGTCAGCGTCCCACTGGGAGGCCCCTGTGGGAGGAGCACCTGGGGCCCAGAGCTGGCTGGGAAACAGGCCTGCAAGAGGCCAGGAGGGACCCCAGGGGGCACCCATGACTCTCCTGCTCCCGGGGAACCCTACCCTTGCCGTCCCTCAGCTTGGGCCTCCCAGGGAAGCCCGCGGAATTCGCTAGTGTTTGGGGATAGGGCAACTCCCGTGCAGTGAACCGCAAAACTAGGCCCACGAGTTTTGGGATTTCCAATCCATTCCCCGGACACCCCCAGCACACCCACCCGTGATGGGCAGTCCTGGCTCTGTTTTACAGGGGGCAGCTGAGGCACAGGCGGGGTGGGGGTGGTGGTGCATGGGCCTTGGGGAGTGGAGCACCCTTGTGCTGTTGGTGAAGTGAACTCTGGGTCAGGCCCTGCGTGGCAGATTAGAGCTTCCGATGTAGAAAGGCCAGCACAGTCAAAGAAGGAACCAAGGAAGACCCAAGCCCTGTCGCAGTGGCCATGTGAAGGCCCTCGGTTCCTCCCCAGGCGGCTCTCCATCTCGTAGTTGGGAGCAGGGCTCATTCACCTGTGGGGCTGCGGCTCCCTGAGCGGAAGGAGAGAGCTGTGAGGTCACCCATTTTACAGCTAGGGAAACTGAGGCTTAGGCAAGGCAAACAGCTCCTAGTCATGGTCACTGCCAGGCTGGTGTTCTCTTCTGCCGGCAGGGTCCTTGAGAGAGGCTTGCTTCACTCAGGTGACACGGTTATTTCTGGCTTCTCCCCTGAACCTCCTACAGCCTGACCTGCCTGACCTTAAGTAAGTCACTTACTCTCTCAGAGCCTCAGTTTCCTCATTCCGGTAGTGGGGTCTGGTGGAGCGGGTCGGGGCTGCAAGCTGCGTCCGCGGCGCTGAGCCACCCGCGCTCGGGAGGAACAGGTGTGGGGCGGGGCCAGCACGGGCGGATCCATCTTGGGCGGGGCCAGGAGGCGGGCGTCGGCTGCTATGGAGGGTGTGCCAGTTCTGGAGGCGGGGCTCGAATGAGGGGTGGGGTTCAGGGCTACCCTGTAAAGGAACGATGGAGCGGCACTCAGTTAGGGGCGGAGCTAAGGACTTATGGGAATCCAGTACTTACGCAAGTGTAAGCAAGGCTCAAGACTCCAGAAGGCCCCCGTAGCGGGCGGGGGGGTGGGGTGGGGGTGGGGACAGTGGGGGGCGTGGCTCAGGGCTACGGCAGTGACAACAAACGTCAGCGAGGGTGGGGCTCAGTGAGGGCGGGGCGTAGAGCCCTGGCATTGGCGGAGAGGCTCCAGGAGCGCCCGGGATGGGCGGGTCGCAGTGAGGGGCGGGGCCGAAAACTCAGGACTGCGTTGCAGCCGCCGCGGGAGGAGGCGGGGCGTAGAGGGCGGGGCTTAAGGCTCTCGAGGGGACGCCGCCGACGCTAGGGGCGGAGTATAACGGGAAAGGGCGGGCTCAGTCAGGGCGGGTTTGGGCTGCGACCAGGGACGGGGCCGACGCCGGAGAGAGGCCTGCGGGGAGGGGGGCGGGGCCCTCCGGGAAGGGGCGGGGCGAACCGAGACGGGCGGCGGTGAACCGACAGCCTGACCGGCGGACGGCGACAGGGGGACTGGCCGGGGCCGGCCGGGCGCGCGCCGTGCCGCCGCCATGACAGGTGAGCGCGGGCCGGGCGGGGGTCCTGCCTGCCGTTCCGGGTCGGGCGCTCACCTGCGGTGGCCCCCAGGGTCCGGTTCCTCGACGTTGCCCCGGCCGCAGCTGCTCGCGGGCGCGGCCGAGTGACCTTGGTTCGTGACCGCCTGCAGGTCGGCGGGCGAACGCCAGGCCGGGGGCCGTGGTCGGGGCTGGGAGGCCCGCGGGGGCGGGGCTGGAGCGCGCCTGTGGGCGGGGGAGGCGCTGGGGGGTCGCGGCGGGCTGGCGCGGGGATCCTCCGACACTTCTGTGAGGAGCTGCAGCCCCTCCAGCCTCAACCACCTGACATCCAGAGGGGGGCGTCCCGGTGGGACCCTGCAGTATCCCGGGACAGGCGCCTGGGGACAGACTCCGCCGGGCGCCCCTACCACCTCCAACTTCTTTTCCCAGGATGGGGCTCCCTGCCATGCCCCTGGAGCCTGTTTGGACTGGAGAACCCACTCCGTTCTGGTCCCAGCTGAGCAGGGCCACCTTGCTTTGTGGAACTTCCTCGGTGGGAGGCACCCGGTGATGGTGATGGGTTGGCGAGGGACCCCATGACAGCTTGATCCGGGAACTCTGTTGCTCCCACACACCTCCTTCCCAAGGGCCCCACTCTTCCACCTCAGGGGGT